GTGGTCACCCCTCCCACATCACTCACAGTCCAGTGTGCAGCAGTAGTAAGACCACTAGCAAAGAGAGAGTGATGTCTTTGCTTGAAACGTAAGGCTTACTCAAGGTGTTTCAGGGACTACCTCACACAAGTCCTTAAGGACAAAATAAAGAATATCAGTCTGAACCTGAAAACTAATTTGACTTAACTTATCCTTTGACCCCTGGACAAGTTGATGCCTTCATTAAACTTTCCCAAGAGCATTTGATTTGCTCCTAATTGTTGTCTCTTGCTCATGAGATGTTGTGTTATTTCCAGTTGTTTGTTACTTAGTATGGTTCTTTATAGGAGTCCTGGTGTGGTGCTGGGGGTTAATGATCTGGACTGCAAAGCCATTTGAACCTCAAACTCAGCAGTTCAAGCTCACCAGCCGCTCCTTGGAAACCCTATACAGGGTCACTATGGGTCAGGACTGACTGGACGGCACTTAACAACAACAAGGTTATACATATTTATGGAAGCAGACGGCCACTTCTTTTGTCCTTGGAGGATCTGGTAGGTTTGAACCACCAACCTTTCGATTAGAAGCAGAGTGCTGAACAGCTGCATACTCAGGCTCCTTGTCAAAGACAATTCCACTCAGATTCTCACATTTAGGATTGCTGATATTACCACTAACAAACAATGACTCCTCTGCCTCAGGCCCCTGACCCGCCATTAATTACCCTGTTTCATTTCCATTCTTGAGTTTTAGCAGCTGAATACTCTTGTTACTCATTATGTTCCAAGCAGCAGAAGGGCTGGCTCATCACCATAGACTTTTGAAGCATTAAATAGGCAAAGCATTAAATGTACCTTTCATTTAGTTATAACATCTCTAAGCTCTTCAGAAAGGTTAGGCTTCATACGTTTTTAAGCTGTAAAAACACAACACAAAACCATACCTCTGTCTACCCTCACACAGCAAGCCAAGAACACAATGAATTTTTAATCCAATGAAGTTTTTGTCACTGTTGCTTCTCAAGAGTCCTGGTGTGGCACTGTG